AAAAACAATTGAAAAACGAAACTTTGACAAAAGCATTTAAGTAACATCTTAAATGAATCACTTTGAAAGCTTCAGATACATCAGACAGAGCTTTTCTGCTTTCTAAGTTGCCACGTCTCTGCTCTGAACTGCTACTGGAGTTCAAAATACAGGATCATTCATTTCAATTCAAACTGAGTGAATAACGTGACCCTGTAGTGTGACACGCATGGGCCTCTGTGGGGCAGCACTGTGCTTCTCCTTCTTTCTATTCATGAGCTTCTTTTCCCAAACCACAACGCTGCCTGACAGGAAAAGCCCCAGCGGCCACGCCACAGATGTGCTGCCAAAGCTTCTCGTAACACACAAGTCCAGACTGCAGCAGTTGATGCTTCTGAGTTTGTTGTCGTGTGTTGTTCCTGATGCTTTCGTTCGCCCCTTTCACCACCAGTGCCACGCGCTTTTCAGGCCCTTACTGTGATTCTAACTTCTGATTCAAATAGCTTTAGTACATTTTGTGGGAGGATTCCTATTTTTCTGTGAATTCCACAATCTATTTTTAGTCCTACTTGAAATTTCCCTGTTTAGAGGGCAGTCCAGGAAAGAGAGGCGAGGGTCAGAGCCATGATTGGCTGTAGATGGGGCCTCTGCTACACACACCCCATCTGCCAAGCTCCTCTGCATGCATGACCAGACTTGATGATTCACTTCCCCCTGGCTCTTCCCATAAAATTCCGCAGGATTCAGGCCTCGCAAGAGAAGAGGGAAGAAGTTAACGCAACTTTTCCGCAAGCTCACAAAACCTGCCACAACTGCACATCTGTTGCACACATGCTTTGAAGACAATTCCTCTTTCTCATCACACAGTTACCTTGAGCTGTGTGTGCTTGTGGTTAAGAGGACATGTCACCCTAAGATTCTACTACTCCTGAAACAGAACCTGAGGAGTCCGACAACACCGATGGCTCGTCACCTGCTCCTTGCTTGTAGCTACATGACAGACAGTTGTTTGAATAATAAATCATGAGGTTGTAAGAGAGAAATACAGTGTCTATGTAAAAATAGAGAAAGAATACACAAGTGGACATCTACAAGCTTTTACAATGAATAAATTAAACATATACTTTAAAGGCGACTTGCTTCGGACGTTGCAGCGAACACGTGCTAAAGCTGGTAGGAAAAAAAAATCACTCCATGCTTTCATGAACCCTGTTGTCATTCAGAACAGACCATTTCCAAGCAGCTAGGATCAGCATCACAAACTGAAGAGAAAATTATGCGGTCGGACGTTAACTCACTTTGTTTCCTCTTCCTATTTTTTTAACGGTCAACTATTTCACAATAGCTTAAAAGTTGAAGGACGGCAACAGTACAGTAGCAAGAAAGCACAGAGGAATCAAAGTACACTGTGTCTATTTAATCGCTAAAGCCACCCTCCTTTTTCTCTGTTTCAAGAAAAATACCAATGAAGCTTCATTAAAGCAACTTGCTCTCATGCTTCATTCTAACCGTTTTTCATTGTCAAAAAGAACCACAACCATTAAAGTGAATAATATGTAAATCTTCTGGAGGACTACAAGTTCATACATCTTACTGTAATGTTAAAACATATCCCATACAAATGTTATTATCTATATCACGAGCATTTCCTCTATGTTCTCCAGGAGAAGGGGTAAAATTGATCAGATCTCAGTTTCTGCAACTATGACTCATACAAATACACAATGTAAATACACACAGGCAAGACAAATGGCCAGAGGTCCAACATTTTTTACTTTAAGAATTGCATTCCCAGAGCAGAAAACAAAATTTTTTATTGATGGATTTCAGGTTCCTTTCTTTCACTCAAAGTTGTTCCACTTAAATCTATCACAGTTTGCATATCATGGCTACACAGAACGGAAGAGACGGGCAAAGTACAGTTAAATGAAATGCTGCCTACATTTAAAGAAATAACGGGTGGTAATAGATTTTGTGTCCACAATCCTGTGGACAGTAGTGAGAATTTATCTGTTAAAATGCTGAAGATAAGAATTCAAAACCAGTCTCATACGAGCAAAAAATAACTGCATGAGAAATTACCTTTAGATAAGGTTGGGTTAGTGTGTGCAAAAGTCTTAGTAGAAAATAACTAAGAAATATACATTATTTTCTGTTTTGGGCTGCTGGTTCTAATTATTTTAAACTTCAATAATAAACTGGTTGTGAAGAAAACTGTCTGACATCATTTTTAGCAGATTGCATGAGAAGTTGATTAGGCATCCCTCATTCTCGTTTACCAGTTTTCATATTGGCTTCATATATACTTGAATTCAAATACCGATGTTTCCTACCTGGAAGTTTCCCACCATGATGAGTCCTGCAGCACAGATCCAGCCGGTGGAAAGACTAGCTGTGTTGAGAACACAATTCTGGTGTTTCTCAATGACTTGGGCATAGCGGAGCAGCACTATCCCCATAACTACAGAAACACAAAGACAAAAAACGTAATCAGTTAGACGAAAAACTCACCAGAGAGAGCTGAGGAATAATGTGTTTTAAGTAAAAAGGTAACATCTTGTTTATTGTGGACGAGAACCATCCAGGCTGCCTGGCTTCAATTTACTGCAAACACTTGCACACTTGACTTAGCCAAGAAACACACAAATTTCCTTGAGAACTCAGAATTACGGGCAGTCAAATTGCCTTTCCTAATGAGGTAAAAAAACAAAAAAAAAACATTAAGAAATGGCGGGAAAGGGAGCACGATACACCAGTGGGGGTTGGTCCAAGTCCTTTACAGGATTAAAAACTGAAGGGAAATAAAGTACAGTATGGGGGACAGATGAGTCCAGATGAGCTAAGAGGATCTGACTGGGTCCATTGTTGGCGTGCCGTGAAGCTGACCCCTGCCTGGTTTGTCTTTGTTAGCTCCTCATGGCTGGTGCTTGATGGGGGCTGACTGGGTTTGGGGAAAGCAGGACACAGCAGTCAAGTAGAAAAGAGGAGGCAGAGACAATTAGTGGGGAGAAGCTGCCCCTCAAGACTTGACCTGAAGCTTCACCACTGTGTCAGAGACTAAACTGTTATGTTAACACTGTCACCATCTCTGTGGACCAGGTGATTTGAAAGAGAATTTGCACGAGTGACGGTGTTTTAAAAAGGGAAGTTCCAGCTTTGCCTCCAGCTTACTTTCTTTGGATATTTTGTGGTCTGTCTGACTGTACACCAGACACATTTTTCGACAGGGAGACAACCTGTGCATTAGACCGATCACTCATTCAAAGAACTAATAGCATCAGTTAGAACACTTACAAATTTTTAAAAAAGCTTTCTCATAATAAGGATCACGGTTAGAAAAAATACAAGTCATAAATGCCAAATCATAAGGTGAGAGGACAAATGGCAGAGCACTATATCAATTTCAACAAGGAAAAGAACACTAAGTAATAAGTGCATTGTTGTTCTATTCTTTGGTATTGTTCTACAAAACTATCCACAAGATAAAATTTTACAAACTGGGTTCATATATTCATATATACTTTGTTTATGTATTTATGTATACATTTATTTAAAAAAGAACTGACCTTACCTAATTTTTTCTCTGAATTTCTAAAGAAATGGGAGGTGACTTGAGTACTTGTGAATTTGGGACACAAAAAGTACTCTTAATAATGTTAAAAATGCACATTTGCAATCGATTGAAAAACTATGCAAAAAATGCTTTTTCTGCAAACTGTAAGCTACAAAAAGTAATGATAAAAAACATCTGTTTAGCCATTTAGCTTCTTGTTTACAGGTTGATTCATTTTACTAATTATTGTAATGCTCTTAAAGTTTCTTTTTGTTTAAATCATGTTGCGGGGCGTGCTTGTGTGACCCTCCTTTTCTCCACACCGCACTCAATCAATGCAAAGTGATTTCGGCTACAATCATGGAAAAACAAACAACCGTCTCGAGGCTCGGAAACAACCCTGTTTTTTTGTTTTTTGTCTTTTAAATTCCAGCTCGTTTGGAAAGGGAGAACATACTGTTTTACAGAGAGGACAAGAGAGTAAGCTGTAGTTTATACTATTAGATTACAGCATGTCAGTCTCTTACTGCAGCAGACTGACTGTCTGTGTTTTAGAAAATCAACATGTTTAGACACACTGGTACTTAACTATTGTTAGAGAAAATTATGAAAGCGTGGCCTACAGGTAAAAGACAAAAAGGGAATTTTTCCCATTTTATGTGATGTTAGGATATAATATGTTGGTATTCTTTGTTTGGGATGCATGTCACACGGAGGTCATGGGTTCCTTCCTCTTTAAACTTTGATGAGTTGGCAAAAGAGCTGAGTTCCACCGGCCCGTGGAAAATCAGCTCTTTAACAAAATAAAGCTGCAGCTACATAGATGCAATTTGATGGGTACAAAGCTGCCTCTGAATGCTTTCAGGGCACTAAAACTGACGCACAAGAACGCATTCCCACAAAGTCACCTCAGCAACACCCACACCTAGCGTTTCAGCTCAAACACTTCGCTGCATTCCTCCACAGAGGGTATGTGGAGAAAGAATACACACTTGGCTTTTAAAACAGTGTGTGTGGACACTGGCAGAGAAGAGCGAGCGGGAATGAAAAGGGAGGGAATAATTCTAGGAGAATTACGGTTCATTGAGTACATGTGATCCCCACCCTGAGCCAAGTGGAGCTGGCATAGCCCTCCAAGTAATACATAAATCAATAGGCTAACAAGGTAAGCACTGATTATTTACAATAGCCTGTTGTAGATCTACATACCACTACAACTTACCCTACTTTTGAGACATAATGAGTTGCTTTACAACTAGTTTTAACATAAATCTATGTACAGACCGAGTGAATGCTGAGAGGAAATATAAAATTAAGGGAAAGCTGTTTGTGAAACTGTTATTAAAAGAGAAGTGGTGGTGGCAGATCCTGAAAACCGGAAATGGGGAAGTTCCGTTTATTTGATATATTCTGACTGTAGAGTTGCTCTTGGGATACATGGTCTGTGAGTTCTTCCTTTGTTCGTGCTTCACCTCATTACAATGTCTCTTGATAATCTGCCAAACAGCCCAAACCGTTTGCTTAACAAAGAGCATCAACAAGTAGGTTCTTGAACTATCTACAAACATTTCATTTAGTGAGAATTTTAAAGATCAGAGATCTGCATCAGGACTGACTGGTTATGTGATAAATGATAAGAAGCAGCTACGACAATAAATGACGGAACCTGCCTCGGAGAAAATGCCAATATACACCAACTAACCATAATCACAGGCATAGGAAGAACACACAGTCCAAGCTCCCTGCAAACAACACAAACAAAACCCCATATGATGCTACAGTAATCAGTGCTCCACCTTTCTGTGTCTGATAAAGTCTTCATAATCAGCCTCCTTGTCTATTAAAAAAAAATTGTGTAAAATAACAATCGTGGTTCCCAAAAGCAAGATCAGTCTCATTTTACCCTCTAATTCAGAAATGATTTAACATACAGCACTACTTTTGATAAAGGAAGATACTCATCAGAATCTAACAGTCAGGAAAACATAACCATCTTAAAATACTCCAGTCAAACCCCTTTAAATCCATAGTTTGTTATCAAATTTATACATAAAGACAAAAACCCTTGTTTTTTTTGTTTGTTTTTGGGAAAAGTGGGATCATTTAGTTGACAAATGACAGAGGTAACCTCATCAATCCATATAATTATATATATTATTAAAGGCAGCGGTCTGTAAGGGGGTTTGTTTTATACAAATGCTATACCTTCATTTTTTTGTAGCCCCTCAAATGAAATATGAGTTGAAGCAATGTTAAGGCAATATCAACCTTCATTCTCAGTAACCTGGAATGCGTATTATGTAAGAAGTGACGGCCATCACCGGTATGTATAGTGCAATGAAAGACGCAAATAGTCATTAAGGTTGAGCAATGTTGAGTTTACACATTACTTTGAGGGAAATCTAATACAGTGACTCCATTGTGACTCACAGTAAAATGTGCCAGGTTTCTGCTAAGATCTCTGTGTTATTCAGCCGACATAGGGGTCACAACTGACTTCTAACTGTTCTCTAATCAGACCCATACTTAATTCCAACAGTCTGGTTCCTTTTACTAACCAAGAAAATGCCATAGCCATTAAGAAAAGCGCATAAGAAACTAAATACATCATCCGTTGTCATCAAATACAAAGATTGTTATCTGCATCTACAAAAAGGTAAGAAAAAGGACCTTAAAAAGGTCCAAACTCAGCTAATTTAATCAAAATAGCCGCCACAGGCTCAGGGACAGAAAGGAAATATTAAAACAGCTCTCTCCTGCTCTTTATGCATGCGTGTGTGTGAGTGCACACTTGCATATACACACATAGAACAAGTCTAAAATACAGCTGGGAAACATTAACTAGATCAGGGAAGTCAGAGCCACCAGTGAGCGCCGGGCAACAGCACGTGTAAACTCACAGAAGACATGCAGAGCAGCACATGGGAGCTCATTCTCCACTTCTAAAACACGTCTGTTTTCCTCGAGCCAACTAAAATACACACACTCGCTGCTGATGTGTGTCTCAATATGGAGTGCTCCAACCCCTGGTTTCCTTTCTGCTGTTCTCCCATTCAAAATGACTGCATGCAAGGTTTCCACTGGCTCTTGATTGATATGATTGTGGGTGCACTTGTGTTATACACATGGCGGGCACATGAGTGCTCACACCTTCCTATTATGGAGACCTGCTTCCCTTCCCGGGCATGAAAACAGCAACAACCTATCATCTAAATCAATTTGGTTGGGTTCAACATCTGCGTCAGGGTTAGATTAGCATTGGTCAGGATAATGCCCCCTGAAGTAATGGATCTGTGCTTTGTGAGTGTTCATATGAAGCCTTACCCATGAATGAACCTGTGCTGCAGATAAGGCTGAAGAAGCAGCTCTCAGGGGGAAGAGTTCCACATTTACTGCAAGAAGAAATATCATGAGAAAAAAAGGGCATTAGCTTGCATACACTACAAAAGGAACAGAAACAGTGCCACACTTCCAATGACTCGAATAAAGGAGTGTGTGTTGAGCCACTTATGTGCTTATGGAAAACAGTCCGAGTAGAGCCACGATTCCTCACATCCCGTCATCAAGTATCTGACTTTTCACCTACTGCACACTGCCTCTCTTCTAGGAATGGGAAATGTTTGCAAGGGGAGAAGCCAGGAGACAGTCAACACTGGCTGTCTGTGGCTGAGCCCCCCCTGCCTGCAAAGCCAAAGTCTTTTCAGCTGACTACAGTCACACACATTCTTCAGCACAAATTGTACTGCAGTCATTACACGGCTGCTGGCACCAAAACGGACTATTAACAGCACTTTGATGTAGAGATTTTTTTATATGTTTTTATATGTTTTTTATCATTTAGCAATGTTTGATTATTACAGACCTTTTGTTTCATCTGTAGCCGCACATATTGTCCGAGGGGTCAAAATTATTTGAGATGTCATCAAAAGAATTTTATTTGTGTTTACAATAAAAAGGATGTGTCGATTTTGGCACAGGGCACAGTTTATATGAGCTAAAACTGGCCTTTGAAGTTGAAAGCTCCCCAAGCCAAAAACCAAACACAGGCGTAGAAGTGTCTTAATTTCCTGCCAAATGTGCACTGGCTCCTCTGTGTGAGTATGTTTACATGACTTAGTGTCGCCTCTGAACTGCCACAGTGGCAGGCAGGATATTTCAGCCACAAGTTATTTTCAGAATGCGCACAGGAGAGCAGTGGCCTCCTCCAAGCTCACTTGCTTTTTATCAACAGCGTGCAGACAGGGGTCGTCCAGAACAATGGGACGGTGTTCCTGTTTATGGGCTGGAGAGGCACAGAGACAGACGACCGGTGGGTTTAGGTGCCCTGATGTTACCTGATGAGAGGTACATTGTCAAGCGTGCAGCACAGGGATGGCCCGCTCTGCAAATGGAGCTTCTCTTCACATGACTGGTTGTACAGCCTGGAGCACAAAACATGCATCGAGCATTAAAACAGTTCCAAACACAAGAGAAAACATACACGGAGCTAAATCAGATTACATTCAAATTGTGTTAACATCAGAATTTAAATCTTAATTGAAAATCACTGAGTAACAAAATTATATTGTAAACGTTTCTCAAAATGTCGGACATGAATGTTGAATGTCATGAATAATGAGCACTGTCAGGAGAGCTATTTCCTCTTTGTTTGACAGCCATTTTCATGTTTTTGTATCCCAGTTTCCTTTAGTTTTGGGACTGGTGAGTCAAAACCACTGTGTCATCAAATAGCTCTGCTGATAAAAGTTCATCTCAGACTGTGCTTTTCCTGAGAATTCTAAATTTAAAAACCACAGTTCAGAAATAGGGATTTGGTGAGTCCATCAAATACTTTGTTTGCAAACTGATCAGCAAATGATTTGATTTCCTTATCCAGAAAAGGGTAATTGGTTTTGGTACAGAAAAAGACAGGGAAGGGAAAAGTCCCCTCAGGCTGAGGCTAACTACTCTGATCAATAAATTCTGACTGAAGGTCGGAAGTAAGTGGGGAGCTCCAGAATAATGATGAGCCAAAAGGAAACATACCAGTTATCCACGGGGCAGACGTGCTGGTTGTATAGGGCCATGGCATATCTAAAGAAAAGACAGAGAACAATTATATATATGAAGCATTTTTCACTTTCTGTTTCATCTTCAGATGTGACCGTGACTGGATGAGCAACTGATTTTAATGATACCAGAACCCACGTAACAGACTATGAATAAGGCACTGTCAGAATCATGACCAGTGCAGCGTCCTGATATTTTACAGTGACCATTGAGCTTTCACATAAAACAGGCAAAACAAACCTGTTATTTTTCTAGTGCTTAAAACTTTCTGGAGAAAGTCTACGCTCAAGCTTTAATTTATCTCGTGAGTGTGAGACTCATGCTGCATTTAGATGTTTAACATGGAAGATGTGGAGCGTTTGTTTAAAATTCAGCAACAAGTCTGAGCATGAGCAGCACTTGATCAACCTGCATGACCAAGTGACATGACATTTGGCAAGTTTTCGCTCTCGGTGGACAACTACGGGTTCAAAAGCAGGAGGGACTGGTTTGTGTCAAACTAACCGGCTTCAGTGTTTGTTCAACCAGGTCACTGACCAGCAACATCATCAGAGAGTTTAACGGCCACAGGATCAAAATTCCAAATCTCAATTAAGAAACCCAAGATCCAAATCACACATCTTTATTCATTAAATTATCTTACAGTAAGTATGATATGAATCACCATCTTCACAAAGAGAATTAAGTATTTGATCAGTCTCTAACAACAAAGGATGCACAACCACATCAGCATAACACTCAGCCAGTAATCAGTTTAGTGACTGGAAGTCAGTCTGATGGCAAAACAGTAGTAAATATCTTGTGTGCGTATTTAGCATATTTATAAAGTCATTTGCACTCAAACATACATGTTTGAGTGCACATACGTGTTTGATTTTCCACAAGTTTTTTCCTCTTTCTATAAATAGAATATATCATGGAAGCATTTTCAGTTATGCCTGGCTCTGTTACCATTACCATTTACCACCCATAATGTAAAAAAAAATCTTTCAATTAACCAAATAATTCTTAGCATATAAATCTTTCTAAGTAACTCAATGATGCTGAGCTGAAGGGACAGGTTTGTTTGTGTCAGTGAGTGAGTTGCATTAGCCCAAGAGGCCAGGAAGAAGAGCACCCTTTTAGATAATACTTCCTTGTGGTTTTAGTGTGAAGCCTTTAATTATTTCACCAGCACTAACATGTACAGTTTAACTGTATCTGCGCCGTACATCCACACCCAAGTCCGACACGCCAGCATTCCAACCATAAATTAGACAAATACGCAAATGTCTGTGTATTTGACGAGAAGTGGCCCTGCGAGGGGAAACGATGTTGGGAAAGGTTATCAGGTGGGATGGGCCAATTACAGCTATAATTAACTTTTAGAATTGTGTATGATCATTTTTGCTATGTTTCCAGAGTGGGCATCCCACAGAGGAGAAAGCTGACAAGCAGGAAGGAAGTGCTATTATCAGTTTGTCACATTATAGCTCTGTAGTCCACACACATTGATGCACATGTTAGTTCAAACTGTCAGTGAGAGATGTGGGGGTAAACCAAAGCAGACAGAGGCACTATCTGTCCTGATTTGTGAAAGCCAACTTAGTTCAGCAGGCGGCTAAGTATCAATTATGAAGGGATCATCGTATCCTACTCACAATCCAATCCGTACCAGACAAGAATATCCCCACCACACACTCAGATACACACAAACATGGCTATCAGTATTCGAGGGAAAGCAGGAAATATTTTCAGTGTGAAAAATGTTGGAGGGTGAAATTATTTTCACAGTACCACATCAGTTACAGTTACAATTTAATCTGCTTGCTTTGTGTTGTTTACTGAGAACTCCACCCCAGAATCCTGCACACAGCACGTCAAAACTAAACAAAAAGGACACAAACTCCCACATTCTGCTACAGTTAAAGAAATTAGTCAATCACCTTTGAGTTATTTGTCTTTTATCTTGCTCATTTTCACAAGTGCCAAGTTATTTTCCCACTTGCCTCTTTAGCACTGTGTGCAATAACCACCTTGTGCGGATGAAATGTTGTACAGACAACCAACGGTTTGTTGTCAGGTTATTGGTGGGAAATAAACTATGTGAATCCCCATGTGTTGCAAAGAGCTCAGCTCTTGCAAAATGGTGAATGGAAAACAGCTGACGTGTAGAGGATTGTCAAATTATACCTCAGAGCTCTTTAACCATGGGGAACTAACAGTAAAAGGCACACAAAGCCAAAAACAACACAACCGATGTGCCATCTTGTAAATAATTAAGACAAATACCAAGGGGCTAACAAACTAACCAGTTGGATTTGTTAAACTTTCCATTGCTTCTGAGGAACAGGCTGCAGATTTGGTGAGCTTCCAGTTCTAAATCAAGACACTTTCGGCATAATGTGGACCTAAACCAACACATTCTATGCTTGGAGGAGTCTATGTAATAGTAGGTATGTTGATATAATTAGCCATATATCAAAGCTGTGCAGCAGCTGTACACTGTAATTGCATGCCTGTGAGCAACATGAAGCAGACTGTGTTTTCCCCCTCTCTCTCTCTTTCTTTTCAAGACTGAACAGGGAAGACCAGAAAAAAAACTTTTGGGTCTACTGTGAAAGCTCCCATAAGTTATGCAAAAATAACCCCAGGAAAGGGTGTGATGCTTGCGCTCTGGATGAATTTATAAAGCAAACTGTGGACTTCCTTTACTTTGCGCCTACTTATAGAAAATAAAATCAGTCAAAAAAGATTAATCAAAGTAAAAATATGTTCTTAAGAAGAAAAAAACACACAATACAAAGTGAAAACAGCATGAAGAAAGCCTTATGGGTGTCATGGAGTAATGCTAAAGAATTTTTAAAAAGAGCTCATGAAAAGTCAACAGAAAATGTTAATCCTTAACTCTTGGGTGGGCACACAGGGCATGGACACCAGATGCTTTGAAAAGTTCCCTTTGCACTCTTACGCCCTTCTAAAATCTACCTTACTCCCACAGCACAAAAATTATGCAACACGTTACATCCATCGACATTCCACTAGTCTGGAAAAATCCAGTCGCCTGCTTTTAAAAAGAGGGTGCATTTGTCAATGTAATGGAAAGGAGAACGGTTTAAAGGGCCTGCCAGTCAAAAAGGTGCCATCTAGAAAACAAATGCCAGACATGAAGTGAAGTCACTTTTAGTCGGTTACCTGATTACAAACTCCTGAACTGTCTGTGACGACCACAAACTTCAGCAGAAGGTCTCAGTTTTGGAATCTGATTGCTTGGAGCCGCAACAGCAAACCACTTATGCAGCGCAGAGTTGAGAAATAAAACTATAATGATTTCTAAAAGGACTATCTGTCTCTCTCTCTGTCCTAAGAGTTTACATTCCTCCACACAGAGTAATAACAGAGCAAAGAGATGGGTCGTCAGTATACAGTATGCATAACCAGAAGGTACACACAGCTGCTCTTCTGTATTTTGCATGGATGCTGCTCTGCAAACCCCAGAAAAATCCCAGATTCTAGCTGAGACTTAATCCATATGCCAATTACCATGGCTCCCAGGAATTCAGAATAAATCAGCTGCCTTGCCCAGCTCATGGAAGGAGAAACTGAGGTATCTGAAAAAAAATCCTTCAACATTAAAAGCAGACTTACTGTATAAGTTCAGACACTTTTCAAGTTTGAATATATCAAGGGTACATCTACATTTTCTGATTTATAATTTATAAAACATGATGATGATTTATATTTTAGAAATCTAGACTGATACAACTGAAAAAATATAAGCTACCTAAAAATCAGAGTGAAAAAAGAATAGGCAGAGCTGCAATGTTAAATGTGATATACTGAGACATAAGAAGCATGAATAAACAACTTTATGATGACCAAAATATGTTTTGTTGTTGTGTTGGGTTTGCATACAGGTCTATATTTAGCATTCCTTCTGCTTAAGAGTTAAAAAGTTTCTGCATGTTATCAGTCAGCCGTGTGTCTGCCTGCTAAGTGGTTCAGAGATACTGATAGCTGGCTGTTCTGAGGGGTCAAGAGTGTCCTTTTGAACAGATCTTTACCTGGTTGGTTGTGATGTTGAGCAAGCATGACTCATAGCCTGAAAAGACATTTAAACCCTTTAGCCTTTTCAAAAGCTGTCTGAAAGCTAAAAAAAATCTGGGCCTTCCCATCTGTTGACGACAACTTTACCAGCAATGCGGAAACTTTTCTTCGAAAAATGCAGTATTGGCATCATAAAACACGGCTGTGCTCCTTTATCATAAAAGATGTGAAAGAGCCAAAGTAAAAGACTTACACAACCCATATCCCAGTGATGCTCAGAACTGGGAGGCTGACGGGCAGAATCATCCACAGAGACATCTTCCAGCACCTTTCCTTTTCTTCCTCTTCGGCCAGCCAAGCGATATCCTCCTAAGTAGTACTAACATTTAACTGTCGATGACTGACATCTGAACTCCCACCAACTGGTTCATTATCTTAAAGATGGCAGACAACAGTGGATGGACAGATGCCCCTTTGAGCTGGGGAGAAGAGAAGATAGGCAGCAAATTAGGTCAGGATTATTGAGCATTTTATCAGAAAATAATCATCTAACTTACTTTTACAGTCTGGGATGTGATGCTTACTTCAACTATTATGCAACAGTTGACTGAAAAATCACTTACTCAATTTTCACGAAGAAGAAGACGAAATTTAGATGTGATTAAATGAATTACTTTAACATCCCAAACTTTCACTCTGATCACGTATTAGGAATTCGGGTTTCAAACGAACAAAAACAAGCACCAAATACCAAGCTGAGATTGATCACTCACCTAAAGTCCTGCTGTTGGCCAGCTGAATGTGCAGTCTTTCTCCTGTTTTGGGGGTGGGGGGGGGTTGGAGAAACTTAGAGCGCCGGCGCGTCCTCCAGCGTTCCCAAAGGTTTTCCCGTTTTTGCTCTCCAACGACCGACTCCCCGGTGGACCTTCACTCATTTAAGGGAGTGCATGGAAGTTTAGGCTCCCTCGTCCACAACTCTGCTACGAATCACAGCAGCCACGAGACACCCCGGAGTATCCAGCTGTTTGGCTCCGCCCAGGTTCGGTTACGCACGGGTGGGCAGGTCTGCCGCGCACGGTGGGTCCATTCCACGGACCTGAGAGCCCTTACTCTAGATGTATAATGGAAACTGGAGGTTCTGTTCCAAGAAACAATGCACATTGAGTCTTCCAGGGACATGATGCAGCTTTAAATCGGAATCCCGACGGTTCTTTACGCGAGTTTGTAAAACGTGGATGTTGGCAACGCCTTTTGTCACCATGGCACAACGTTACGAAAACGGACCCTTTTCACGTGTATGAGTGGATGGGAAAGAAAATAGCAGTCTGCTAGAAGCCAGTTGGTAAAACAAAACTTGCCACTGCTGCCCTCTGGAGCTTTAATGTAACAATTCCCCCTCAGTTTAATCCCTCAAAGGGGAGCGTCCTGGCCTGTAACTGCTTTGAGAAACAATTATGAATTCTTAGGGACTGTTAATGGGAGAAAAAAAACCTTTTGGGGTTGGTTTGCTGCTTTTAGGGACTTGTGAGGAGTTTGGTTATTTTGGGGATTTAAAAAAATCGTTTTTCACTTCTTGATTTGGTGCATGGAATAAGCGGTATTGATGATGGATGGATGGATGGATTTGGTGCATCTTGGATTTTAAAGTATTTGGTAAGATATCTGAAACCAGATTTTACTGGGCCTTTTCTCCACTTGGTGAAATGCTGTATATGCTATTGACTCAGTCATGACTGACTCCACTTTAAGTAACACTGCAAATGAGTTATCTTTTACATAAAATATATATAAATATAACTGTGCTCTGACACTTTGATAGGAGTTGATTTGAAGCAAAAAAAAGTTTTAAAGCTCTTTTTTTCTCATTGAGTGTTGATCTTTAAAAAGTGATTAACCGGTTTTGTTCAAATTGTCATATTTTCATCACTTCATCTTACACCCTCCAAATTTGTCAGTTCATAATTGGATGAACAGTTCTCAAACCTTCTTATGCTACCATAAACTTTATACAGTACTTTATAAGGAGCACAATTATCTTCTGTGATTCAAATGGATAAATAAAAGGTTGCTTTGGATTGATCTAATATTCATTTAAACATTTGATGGTTAGGACATTTAACACTGTCTTTATTGCCTATAGAGCTCTTGTTGCTTCTGGACATGAACAGTATTGAAAAGAACAGATATCAGAATATTTTTTATTCATTTTATTTCTTCTTGATAAAGCAATATAATCATTGGCTGTTTCACACTATTCCAACTTGCACATATTATTGTACTCTAACTTCCCCCAAAACAACAGCAGTAATGAAAACAATCAAACAATATAATCAAACATAGAAAAATGGCCTTTGGAAAAATACAAAACTAATTTAATCATATTCCCTTCATCAGCTTTTCCACAAGCATTGAAAATAAGTCCTTACTGTAAAATAAAAAAAATAGGATATGCACCCTCTAGAGTCTTATAGTGGATCCAAAGCCCCACACACTGAAAGCGGGGTAGATGGGCTCGGTGAATGTAGTCTGGACTTTGTGCAGAAGGCGCATGCCATCAGAGACACTGTAAAACGCAAGTATTCCAGCTGCGTGATCCAAGTAGACCCCAACACGGGGGGACATTGGCGCGGAGATGTCTTTGCTTTTATTGTTGTGCACGAAGGAAAATTTGGAGTCTGAGCAGTAGAGACTCCAGGACTTTTCGTTCCAGCCCAGGCTGCAGTCGTTGCCGTTCCCTTTGCGGCGGATTCCCCTGTAAGTGACCCCCACATCAATCTCCGTTCCCTTCCAGTCCACTTCCCAGTAGCAGCGCGTCCCGGTCACAGTCTCCCTGCACAGCACCTGGACAGGAGTGGAGAGGGCAGATTAAGCTGTTTGCATGACATTTTTCATAACTTTGTCTTTTCTGAGGAATCTAAAGCATTGTAACAAAAAGAAGACTTACTGTAGCTGGAAAACTCATTTAAAAAACTCACTTTTGTCCTTTTTAGTTACCTAATTACACCGACTGTGGTCAGTAAATCAGCTTTCTTTTTCACTATTATCTTTACATGCAGGTTAGAAATTCTTACCTGCTGCCAGTGGTCAAATCGGTCTGGATGCTCAGGGTAGTTCTTTGGTTCACTTTTCATTGTAGCGGTTCTGTTACCCTCGGAGAGGTGAAGGTTAGGGTGCACAGAGTTTACATCCAAAGACAAGGAGCAAGAGTCTAGAATTGGGGAAAAGATAGATATAACAGTCCTTTATAATGGTGTGCTGAATTTTTTTCATCTTAGGAAATGCTGTGGTGTGCTTTGGCATTTAAACAGAGAGGTGAGGTGTGGTGAGAGGTACTCAGGGAACACCTGTGTTTGCTTAAGTAATACTAAACTGTGGATTTGCTGTCCAACTTGTCACCAAACCGGTTGAGCAAACTGAATTCTTTCTGTGCAGGTTTCAGTCATTTCACAACACATTGTCCAGCTTTCAGACTAACTCAAGCTCAGTCTCTTTAGTTTTATTGGTACAAAATGAGGCAGCTCTGTGAAGTTTTATGACAGAATGGGCGAGACCTTCTGCAAAAAGTTTTAATCCAGACACTTACATTTCAAAAAGTCTTCTCTGGTCCTGGGTTCTTCTCTGCTCCGTGGCTCTTCCCTCAGTATAGATTCCCTCCTTGGGTTTTTCTCAGTTTCTTGTGTGATATACACTTCCTTCACTATGGACACAGATAAGAAAAAATGGAGCCAGAAGTGACTAAAAATACAGCCTCTTCTGGAAGAACCCTGAAACAGAGTGAGGTCTGTGTTAAATTAGCTTGAAAAAGACAAGTTAGCCTACCTGCTCCTGAGATTTTCATCAATTCTGTCTTGCTGATCTCTTCTACTTGTAATTTCATCGAAGCAATCGCTCTTTTGGTAGCATCAAAGGAGTAGTATGGAGCCACGCTGACATTGTTCAGGTCTTCGTATCCGGAGGGCCCGGACAAAGACTGCCAGCTCTGTAGGGATTTGGAATAAAGACATAACCAAAGAGCAAATAGCCATCGCCTTTCTGTGGAGAGCTCTGCTTTGGGCAGCATGCATGCCGTTGGTTTGAGATCCTCAACTCAGGCCAGCCTCACCTGTAGAAAGTGTATGTGATCATCAGTGTGGGAGAGTTTCTCCAGGTCGGTGTGTCTCTTCCTCAGCAGAGTGATCTCTTCCTCCAGGCGGTCCAGCAGTATCTCGCCCCGGGTCACGGTGGTCTTCTCATGGGAGCGGATCATCTCCTTCACTTCATTGTACTTCCTCTCTATAGAAAGCAGAAGCTCGCTAAAGATCCGTTCATTCTCCTCCAGAACTGTTTGAGCAGAGTGCTATCGAGGTACAAGAGAAGACAGGGAAAGAGATGGTTTGGGTATATATCAAACCGGAAAGCGTCAGTGTCTTTTCAGAATTGAGCAAACATGCACTGTTTGGATCAGAGCGATTTGAGTGAGGCTGCCTTAAACTTACCTTAACCGACTCGACAGCTTGTCTTAGATCCTGCCACTTTTTGATTCTCTGGTCAATCCTATATTGGGATTTGTGCAGTGTGGTTCCAAGTTGCTTCTATTTAAAGACATTCAAGGTGCCATAATTAAAGGATAGTCATTTCCATAGTTCAAAGTATTGAGTGACTGACTTTGTTCACCACTCACTTGTTTCTCGGTTCTCTCGGTGCCCGCCGGGACGATGTCGTGGTGTTTGTGCTCATCCATCATACACAATACACAGACGGATGTCTGATCAGTGCGACAGAAAGCCTCCAACAACTTGTCGTGCTGTGCACAGATCTTCTCTCGCATCTGACCCGTGGCCTTAACCAGCTTGTGCTTCATCATGGCCGGGTAGTCGAAGTGGGACTGTAGGTGAGCCTCGCAGTAGGACGCCAGGCACACCAAGCAGGACTTCTCCGCTTTCTGCTTCCTCGTGGTGCAAAAGTCACACAGAACATCCCCATGCTTGCTCTGTGCTCTTGTCTGGCTACGACTGGCAGACCGACGGGATTTATCCAAAGTGCCATACCTGTCTAAATCCAGGGTGCTGGGGTGAGACATTTTCTCAAAGAAGATTAAAAAAGATCCACGCAAGTTTTTATTTTTCAAAAATTCTAATCCACAGGTGGTTTTGGTCGGCTGGGTTGTGCTGCCCTCCTCTTGAAATGCGCTGAGAACTACAGCCAGAGAAAAAGACTTGAAAAAAGTAAGCAGAATGAGGAGTGAGAGAATGAGCTCTCGAAGCGAACCTCTCCAGTGAAACTCTGCGACTGAGGCAGTGAGAGACAGAATGTTTGCTATGTGTTCCACTCTCCTGGCAAAACCAGTTTTCCAGGTTGGACATTTAATCAACAAAGGAATGTGCCTGAAACAAAGACTGTGAAGGCATAGGACAGGAAAGGATGAAACTACAAAAATACAATAGATAGGTCCTCACAAACATTTATTTTCAGAACTCTGTAACCCAGACAGCCAGGAGACCCACTAAAGAAGACAATGGGAAAACAGCATCATCTTGTGGGACTGATTCATAACTGCACTAAGTACACGTTGATCCACAGAGCCCAAATAAAGTATGTGGAATGAACTGTGTACATGTGCCAGAACAATATAGCAGGTAGGCTGCCTGGAAGTGATAGTTCTCCTCAGGAGTGAATTGTGAAAGAAAGAATTTATAATTTTACTGTCAAATAAAGGCAAGTCTCTCACTCTATGTACTGCTGTAGGAAACAGGGGCTGTGGAAATAAACATGTTTTATATCATACTATGGTATCATCCAAGATGCTAAAATACACTGAAAACGTTACTTTAAACATCGTGATAGTGTCAAACAGAATAGATCTGGAGAACATCAAGGCCACCCGGAGCCCAAGAGAACGCCTAAAATGGGATGATTGACAGATTTATTAAATAATGCTCTTAACTTCTGCCCATAAGAACCAGTGGATATACTGTGGTGGGATATTAAGTAACATAATTTGTCCCATTTAAATTTCAACCAATTTTGATCTTATTAGAGGAAAAGATTTCTTCATGTAAATGTCTGTATGATTTTGTGAATTTGTCACTATCTGTACTCTGCTATTTACCTGCATTGTTTACCGGTTGCAAGAAATAATCACTGCCTTTTTTTCAAATGCCTAGTGGTTTGATTTTGTACATCTAGAGTATCCTTACTGGGTGCACTTGCACACCGCCTGATGCACTCTATTTAATCATTTTCTAGAGATTTAGGCTTGACGGACAGTTTCTGTGAGGTGGAGGCATTTGCCTGCGGAGATGCTATGCTGATGTAACAAACCGTTCTTTTTACAAATGGTTTGCAATGCTATTTGTTGCTCTTTGTAAGGGAAACACATTGATTATTCACTTACAGAGTTTTTTTTATTTTTTATCAAAATTAGTTGTGGTGAAATATGGAGTTCTATATGGAGTCTGACAATAGTGTTATTTTTTTATTCATGGTACTAAATGATATGCCACATTTAGATTTTAGTGCAGAGAAGTTATCTGCAAAGTAACTCTGCAGCTAGTTTTATCCTTTTCTCATATCAAAATAAACATAAGTCCATAAATAAACTGTGTATAATTACTGATCCAGGACAGAAAAATGTTTTCTGGAAGATTAATTTATGATTTTAAACAGAGAGCTGAGTAATTCACTTTATTTTGTGAACTTCCCACCGACCAGATTGAGCTTCCGATTTGATTTTAATAAAGTAGTTTTTATTGAAAATGTATAAGTGAAAAACAGGAATGATTAAAAAAATTTTTTTAAATCAATGTAGTTTTTTTTTTTTTTTTTTTTTTTTTGTATTTACAACCGTGGTTTTTGTTCAACAGACCTCAACCGCGGAGAACGTGTAGTTCTTTATTTCCTCCCCGTCTGTAGAGGGAAGTAATGGGTTGTGAGCCGGGGTGAAGACTCGGCGGTTACTTGCGCTAAAGTGCGTCGGTGGTCCAGCGTTGGCGCCAGATGAGCTGTGGCGCCAGCGAAACGCACAGGCAGAGAGAGGAAGGGAAGACACGCACAGCCGTCCGACGACGCTCACATCAGCTTGCGAAACCTTTGTTAACCGGGAGTTTTAAGCGTATTTACGATTTTCAGTAGTTTCTCTCTACAACGGTAACGAAGCCGAAGAAAAAGGTGGGTGTGTGGCCAGAGAAAAGCTGTACATTTGCTGATCATTGAGCTTGGCAGGGACTTCATTTAAATGCAACTATGTCATGAATAGCAGCAGTGTGAGTCAGACGGGTGGCTGGGTTTGGATAAATGTGATCTCAGATATTGTCTCTGGTGGCGATATCGGTAACCACAGAGGATGGTAAATTGTCGTCCACAGTTTCTAACTTTGTGATGGAAAATTACAGGCCTTGATCCGCAGTAGTTCAAACAGGACAACAACCTCCTATTCAATAGCAACATATCGGTATAAGGGACGATTTGATATTTGAATCGTGTTATTTTTTTATTCAGTGCAAGTAACATTTCTTAAGTTTATGTTAAAGTACATGCAGGTTTTACCCTGCTGGATGGGCTGTGTAGCACTGCTTCGGGTGCACTGTTTTACGATCTGAAAAGCCGTGCTGGTATGGAGCCTTTGGCCGTGCTAACGAAATGGATTAGCTGGATTGTTAGCTTGGCATTAAGGCTACGTAGCTAGCATGCTAATGTGCTCCCGCTTGTGTAGATGCTAACATCAGCAAGGCCGCCATTGAAGTCGTGTGTGTGGTTTGTCTGGTGCTGCCGCAGTGAAGCAGGGCTGCAACTCAGGACCATTTTCTCCCTAGAAGCAGCCGTCCGGGTGATTGAGCTGGTGTGTTTATGCCAGGTTAACTTATTTAACGTTTTATATGCTATGTTAATAATATATTGGAGTTTTTATTGTGTAAGTAAAATGCGCACTTTCCCGGGCATTTCTCACATCGGCGTTCACCTACTTCGCGGTTAGCCATCTTTGTTTCAGCTAGCAAACTCCCGATTGGAATTATGGTATGATTCTTAGCTTGCTAACATACTCACAGTTAGCTTACATACACCTCACGTGAAGTAACTATACTAAAAATTAGTTTGTTGGCTTTCGTTTAGGTGGCTTTTTGTGCACTTTCATCATGATATAGTACACTTTAGTTTACATCAGGGTCGTTGTAATTAACCATGCTGTGAACGGCGGAAGCTCACATGGCTAACGTTAGCTTGCGGCAGCCATCTTAGACGACTGTGTAATCTTGGCTAGCTGGAAGTGCTGGTGTGGCACAACAAGATGGCCTGTTAATACTCGCACTGGGAGAATTTCCGCGTAGATCGTTCTCAAGTTGCACCGAATTACTGAACTCTAGGCCAGCTTTTAAAGTAAGTATTGTATTGCTCTGTGGTTCCTGACAGTGAATAGTTGCGTGTTGGCTTTTCCATGAAGCTAGTTAGCTGGCTAAATCGTGAACATATTAGCAGCTAACACAATGCTGTTTTGTCGTTAACCAGTCGCCCGTCGACCGTAGCCAGCTAACTAGCGGCTATAGAGGCTATTTGTGGCTGTTTTGGGAGGGCTAGCTACCAACATTTCAAGCTTCAATAATAACATTGCAGAGTTTATTGCTTTATAAACTGTCAGCGCTTTGTTGAATAACAGGCGTGGAGTTGCACAGATAAGAGAACAGTGCAGGCCATTTGCGCCGTGGCTTGCGGATTAAGTTAGACTAAATGACTCGATCGTGATGTAGTAGGATTTTTATCAAATGTGTTGGCTAATGAAGTGGAGCTTGTCTGATGCGCTAACGAAGCTAGCAAATAGTTCACTTAGCCTGCTAAATAGTGTTGTCTGTGTGTTTACTAAGTATCATTGTACCTTCAACGTTATAGGATGTGAATTATTAATTCGAAGCATATGGTTGACACTTGAACGCCGTTCGGAAATCATTAATGGATATGATACAGCTGTAAGTCCAACGAAATGAGGCTAACTGTTGTTCAGTAGTGCAAATGATCCTGGAACTAATTCGATGGGGTATACTTTGTCTCTGTGGTCACCTGATACATTTATTAAATAGAGGTCACTGCATTTACTGTCATGTTAGCGTTGTTTGCTGATGGCTGAGCCTTTGCAGTATGTCCTGGGTTTAGCCAGCTTTCTTTTCTAGAAAAACTTCTATTTGAATTTGATTGTAACTGGAAACTTTAAGCTCCATGATGATGATAATACATTTCCCGGCAATGATAATTTTAGCTCAATGTTTGTCACAATTTCCTGTAAATATTAGTACCAGTATACCATTGTTGTCACTTTTATGTGGTCATCTTATATTGGGGGCCTATCCTCGGGCTATGTTATAACTTCCTTTGTACTAGAGACTCTCTTAGGCTCAGCATAAAGTTACATTTATTTTTTTACTCCTCTTTTGCAGGTCTGAAATCTGACAAGATCGACAGAGCGGCAACGCCAAAAACAAACGCCACGCCCCCCAATTTCTTTTTTTTTAGTAATCGTCCGGCAAGAAAACGGAGGTCGCAGGGCTGGAGTGTGTTCTCATGGCCGAGTCAGAGACTGAATGTGACACACCCGGCCTTGACACGCTTGGGTCGGAGTGTGTCATAGCCCACAGTCATGTCGACCTTCACTATGGAGCAGAAACGGAGATCATGACAGAGGAAAAGCGTGGATTAGAGCTGGAGATCCATGGTTCAGACTTAAAGATCCAAGGCCTGGGGACAGAACTTGGTGCTGTTGCTTGTGTGGATGCAATTGTAGCTGAAACAGACCACGACTACATAAAGGTGGAGCATGGTGATATGCACTGTTTCACAGGAGCAGAAATCAAGACCACCGGGAACGAGACCCTGCTGGGAGAGGTCCTGCTTAAGACGGAGAGCGAGCACATGGTCAAAGTGGAGTCCGACCATGGCGGGGAGCTGACGGTTGAGTCTGAGAATGGTGTCATCATACACGAAGCTCACGGCCTGCAGTGCAACGAGTGCGGAGAGATTTTTGGTAGCATAGCCGATCTTCACCAACACTTTGAGATCCACAAGGACCTAAACCCGTACATCTGCGTCCACTGTGGTGAGAGCTTTGCTGTAGAGGCCAGCCTCAAGCAGCATATGAAAATCCACATGAAGGAAAAGCCCTATGTTCCTCCAGGAGTCGAGATCATGGGTAAAGATGTTATTGATGCCTACAGCCTTAAGTCTCATCAGATGATTCATTTGCCAGATAAGCCCCACAGATGCTCAGAGTGTGGTAAGAGCTTTGCAGCCGCCATCACCCTGAGAGAACACATGAAGATGCATTCTGAGGACAAGCCATATAAGTGCACACAGTGCAGAAAGAGCTTTGTCCGCAGAAGGCATCTGAAAAAGCACCAGGAGGTACACGCACGTGAGAAGCCATATACGTGTGGCCAGTGTGGCAAAGGCTTTGCTACAACCTCCAATCTGAAACAGCACCAAAAGACCCACGCTGGAGTTGTGCTTGGAGAGAAGCCCCACCGGTGCACACAGTGTGGCAAGTGTTTTGCCGCTGCCGCCACGCTGAGGGAGCACCAGAGGGTCCACTCGGGCGAGAAGCCATACAAATGCAACATGTGCAGGAAGAGTTTTGTGCGCAAACGCCACCTGAAGAAGCACCAGCAGGTCCACGCCGGAGGGAAGCCCTACACCTGCAGACATTGCAACAAGGGCTTCAATCACTCTTCCTCCCTGTCTCGTCACCACAAGACCCACCTGCAGAATCCAGTGTTTTCCCCCCCTCAGCCTGGGAAACCCATGTCTTTCGGCACCCCCCCGAAGCAGCGGGTGCACCAGCAGGGCGACAAACCATACATGTGTCACCACTGTGACAAGGGCTTCAATCATTCCTCGTCCCTGTCACGGCACCAAAGAGTCCACTCGGAAGGAAAGAGTTACACCTGTGGTCACTGTGGCAAACGATTCAATCACTCCTCGTCTCTCGCGAGGCACCAGAGAGTCCACCTGGACAACAAGCAGCAGCAGCAGCAGCAACAGCCGCCCCAGCAGCAGCCCCAGCAGTACAGCCCCATTCCCATCCCCATCCCCACAGGAAAGGGCTTCCCCAACAACGTCTTTCCAAAACAGCACATCCTGTCTGTTGAGAAACCATACAGGTGCTCTCAGTGTGGAAAAGGCTTTAATCATTCATCCTCCCTCTCTAGACATCATAGGACCCACGTGAATCAGTGAGCGCCCGGTCCCGCCCTCCCCCGGCAGTCCCCCCTCATTTCTGTTCCACAAGTTGCCCCTTTTATTGATAAGACCACATCCCAGGAAACGTCAGGCCAACTTCTACAGACAAGAGGTCACATAAGCACACAGCTCTGGTTGAGTGGAACAGCTGAGGAAGACATGGACAGCAGCACCAGAAGTCTTCAGAAGGAGGCGGCTTGGCTCGAAGGACAGTGCAACATGTAATTCAGAACTCAGCCTGGAGCTCGGTGCTCAGTTTCAGGAGGATTTAATGGTAGCTTGTGAAGGATTCTGTTGTGATTGTGTGCCTCTTGTTCAAGGACCTCCAGACCACTTTTAAACAAGAAAAGATGTAATTTTGAAGCTCTATGTGATACAATTGTTTGGGGTGATTATAATCCTCTGGTTTTTTGATAGGATAAAAGATAAGTTTCCGTATCTTCAGGTGGGCACATTTACTGATCAGCTGCAACTTTATTGAAGGCTCCAAACAGTCGGTGAACCAGAACTCTTGCCTCGATTTGAATAGTCCTTTTGTTTTTTTTTCACCCACATAACTGATGTGACACAAATATGAAAAGATTTCATTGTAAATACTTACTGATTTTTTTTCCTTTCTTTTATATATGTATAGGTGACTAGTGTGCTGTTCCAAATGCCATTTTTGATAGTTCAGACCCACTTTGTCTCCACCTTTTTTCTTTTATTTCCTTTTATGACTAATTTGTTTTAAGTGTTGGAGATGAAATTGTTGCAGGTGTTGCTTGTCCTTGAAACGGGCTCCATCAGACTCGAGCCGTCTTGTATATTTATGAGGTTGTCTTTTTTTGTATGTCTATGATGGTTCACTACCCCTGCATAGACTGTACAGAGAGCAATACTGGCTAACACCCTGAGTCTATTATGACATGCAGTTTAGCCACAAGGAAATGCATAACAGAAAATAAAATCCCACTGGGTAGCATATAACATGACCCGTGTCCTAATTATTTACGCCTACCGCACCCAAGTCCCAGATGTACATGAAAAAGCCCTGTCACACTTTATTCTTTTGGAGACTAATTGTGTATAGAATATAGGTAATGCAACAATCTGCAAGCTACCACGATTTGAACTAAAGGTTTGTGTATACTAAAAGACTACATGAGAATCTCATTTTACAAGATTTTTCAGGAGTCGGGTGGATTGCGCTCTATTTACTGTTCATGTAAAATATCTTTTACAAACTGATGTATTTTTTTAGACATGGTTTGGGTTATATGAAAGGGAATGAGAGAGGCAGTTTTTATGAGAGTGAACATTTTGGTGAGCAATATTCTCTTTTTATTTGGATGACAATTGTGCTTCAAACTGTAGCATAGGTTTCTTCCTTGTGTTAGATAGGTGCCTTATTGCATGCTATGTAGAAATGTATGCCGAGCTGTTGTTTGAGGAAAGAGTTGGGGTTCTCTGGAGGCTTTAGTTCTTATTCATGCTAATGTACCCTACATTTTATTTTGTCACTGATACCTTTTACTTTTTCTTGCTTTAATGTATATTACCATGTGTTTACACTGTTACAACCACATTGTCCCTCACCCTTCCCTTTTTATTTTTGTCAACGGCCTCATTGTAGAGTAAAATGTAAAAGATCCATATAGATTTCTCAAAGGGCAAATCCTGTACCACCTCTTTCCCATTTCTGAATGGCACATATGGATAAATAAAGGTTGTTGACTCTCGCAGTGTTTAATTGAATGAATTCCTGAAAAACCGTACTTAAAGCCTTTTGAATTAAGACGCTCTTCATTCGATACTGTTGTAATTTATGATGAAAGTGAAAAATGCCGGCGGTGCACTGAGGTCACAGGTGAGCATATGAGCCGGATTCCAAAGGTTGATGAGACCTCTGTAGTTCAGCTGGGTGTCCACACGGTGTCACCATTAGCCACAAAATGTTGGTTTTCAGGTTTCAGGAACACAGCATGGCCTAATGTCAGTTCAACAGCTCCTTTCAGCAGGAGCGTTTTAGTCCTAATCTGGAGTCACACATAACTTAATTAATGCAAAGTAGTAAAAGATGGAACTGAACATGCGAGTGACCTGAGTAAAACCATGGTTTACATCCCCCCACAGCTGGAGACCGAAGCAGTCTGTTAAAGAAGAGATAAGGTTGGGACCCCTCTGTGAGTAACATTTGACACTGTGAGGGTATCGTCTGTCTGAGAGCGGAGCAACGCTTCTGTTAACACCACACCTCCCGAGATAAAGTGTCCATCCCAAGGCCAAAAGACTGCGTTCACGTGGGCTCAACAGCCTTCACATGAAGTCAGTGATTACTCTCAAGTGTTCAAATGTTATTTCTAAAAACAGGAACGTCAAAGCGATATCCTTTAAGCACAGCTGTTTCCTATTAAAAGATGAAGTGAAAAAGTGGATTTGAATTTCTTCATCTAGATAAATGTTGCTTTGACTTTAGGAACTTTTGTCACAACCAAAAAATGACATCCTGGTGGATATATAGTTTTATTTGAAGTTATTGCTACAAGACAGGGAAAGTTTAGGACAGAGTTTTAACTCTAAACATTTGAAGCTTTGAGGCAAGTGGAGAAAGAAAGCTGTATCCATATCAGACCAAGTGTGGGTCATCTACAACCACATACGCTTGTTAGTTCACAGAGGGAAACATCATAGCATATATCTTTTAAAATGATTTACAAAGATACATTTGTACTGTACATCTGTACATGGAACTCTGTCAGATATCAGTGTGAGGTAGGAAACGCTTACACGTATCTGGAGATTCAAAGTCTTTGTTTTTGGCTTTTGGTGAAGAGTCGCGTCTCATCGGGCCCGGACGCTTCAGCAGAGGCCTGCTACACGTTCATGACAGGAGTTAGCTGTAGCAGGGAGCTCTGTGGTCGAATGGTGTTGCTCTTTGAGTGCAGTTTCTCCAGGTTTTGCAAGAAGCCTCTTCTCTTGAGACCCTCGAGAATGACGGTGTTGCTGGAGCCCAGACTGACATGGGTCCTGCAGGGGCAAAACAAACCACTTGATAAGAGTGACACGTGCTTTCGCTCCGTCCCGCTGCCTAAACACCCAGGTGCACGGTGAGTTCAACGCCAGAAAAGAAGTCTTTTCTTCCTCTTTGATTACAAAATGAGTATTTAAGTGCTGCCCGGCAATTGCGTGCAATTATCAGAAACGACTCCCTTCTGTCCAAACACTGGATGCTATAATTGGCCACGAGGTGTTTGTTCAGCTTTATTGCAATTTACCTTAAAAGAAAAAAAACACATTTTAGCACTGAGGCCAACCACAGACTCCCAACCCAGAGGTTAATGAACTTGGGGACTTTGTTTATTTTTGCCCAAAGCCACTTAAAAAATGTAGGCCACTGCAGTATGGTGTGGGCTTACTGCCCGTTAGCCATTGCATGCAATGGCCTCCATGAGCCATTCCCAGTCTGAGAACAATAGAGCTACAACACTTCTACAGGACATTGCTATAGGATTAAGAGAGGCACTCACCGAGGGGAATCTATCCCGCTGTCTCCTGTGATGCTCTGGTTCTCGACCACTTCCCCAGTCTCTGCCCTTCTGGCTCCACTTGTCGTGCTCTGAGTTGCTTTGTAGTTCGGTAAAACGCTCTTGTCCTCCAAGTCGTCCTCCTGCACTTCTTCCCCATCGGCTGCCCACTGAGCTGACTTGCCGTCACCTTCCTCAGCAGACTTTCGGACAGTCTCGGAGTCGGATTCTACCTCACTGGCCTGACAGTAATCAAATATACTGCTTCCTGTGGCTTCCCATGCCTCCAAGCAGTCCACATCAAGACCAGCTCCGTGCTGTCCCTCCCTCTGGATCAAAGTGCTTCCCACGGGGCTGGCCTCACTTTGGGTGCCTGGGGATTTAGTCCTCCAGTGATGGAGTCTCCAGCTGGTCTCTGCAGGTCCTGTGGGGCTGAAGGCGGCTCCTCTATGAGCTGTAGGGGAAATCAAATCTGTCAACACGCCATCCAAGGAATCCTGCTTGAGAGCAACTTGTGGCTGTTGAAAGGTGGATTTATAATAAGGAGATCCCCGATGTTCCATAAAGGTTTCGTGGTCGTGGTCAACCAGTGGACGGCCACAGTAGTTTGGCGAACCAGCTTGACACTCACTTGCAACATCAATAATGTCATCAACAACCAGGCACAAGGAGCTGCAGGCGTCATCATCCTCTGGCTCAGGTTCTCCCTGGTAGAGCCGGTAGTCATCTTCCACAAAGCCACAACTATCCGTGGTCACTGTGGTGTGGTCAGGCGCCAAATGCGGCTGATCTCCCAGTCTCCCTGTCCTCTGTTCTCTGTTGCTGACTGGCCTGATCTCCCGTTGGTCTTCTGAGAGCTCCCCAGGCTTCTGAACATCTTTACTTTGCTCACTGGGTAGTCTGAGGGGATGCTTCCCCTGTGCAGACGGCTTTGCCCAGGGCAGATTTGGCTCATAGGAGTGGTTGACGACCAGCTCATAGGAACGGGCAGGGCGAGTGGAAGTCGTGCTTGAGGGCGGTTGGATGTTAGTAAGGAGGCCATCTCTACTTTGGCTCTGGTCGGTCACATTTTTGTGGGCACAAGTGTCCTGAAATACCCCGTTTCTGCTTTCTCCCTCCCTGTTCTCCTTGTTTCCCTGGCTCTGGTGTCGGACCTTGTCTTCTATTCGGAGGGTGCTGCTCTGTGGGTAGGCTGCGCTGTAGTCTGAGGGCAGCTCTCTGATCAGCATCTTCTCCGGCTGTAGCGGGTGATCAGCAGCAAAGTCCCTCTCGTGAGTCGTACAGTCATATTTGTCCTCTGATGATGGAAGTTTCAAAGCGTCCTCTCCACCTGCTGCCATCCCTTTGGCTCGATGTGGGTCCCATGACTTGGAGCGGTGACTTGCTCGGTCCTTCTTCGACGCGCCGGAGGCCTTGGACGCTTTCACCTCACGTCTTCTTTGCTCTCTGGGCGCGGGAATCGTGTTCTCAGTATCTCTGACTGGATGTGTCTGGAAAGGGTTCTCGATGCGTTTTTTGTAAATAGATTTCCCCTCGACAGCTCCACCCTCCTCCACTTGATCTGGTGTATCAACAGGGATTTCCACTCTTAGCCGGGTCGGGATCAGATCCTCTCCCTCTGGATAATTGTCTACACACATATGTGCTTTACTTTTAACCCTCTCCTTGTCCCTTTCCTTTTGCTTCTCTTTGGATGAGTGAGCCCTTCTCTTGGTCCGAGAAGACCTCTTCCCTCCTCCTGCTTTGGACAAGTGGTGATGCTTCTGTTTTGAAAACGTTAGGACGTCAGTAGATATTCCCTTATCGATTCCCTTCTCGTCCTTATCCGGCCCCCTATCCAACACCTTGTCTGTCCCCCTTTCCTTTCTTTCCTCCAGCTTCTTCATCAGGACGGTGTGTCGTGTCAGGTTGTCCACAGTCAGTTCAGGGTTGATGCGTTTGATGATGGCGTGCTCCAGATCTCGGGGCAGATTGTTCAAGTCCTCTTCGTCTCTTACTGGCCACTCTTCTGGGGGAAACTGGCCTGAAAATGAGGCGTACTCCTTCTTTGGCTTCTCCTTTTTAGCTCCATTTCTTCTGAACAAACTAAGCCCAAACTTCCTTGTGGGTTTGTTATCTTTATCTTTCCGACCGGTGGCGTTGGTGGTGGCCGTTGTTTTGCTGATCTCGCTTGCCTGGCAATCTGCTGCCGTGGAGGTGGACTGATGCTGCACCGTGGGTTTGTGCTCCGACGGCCGGGGCCACTTCAGACTTTTGCCTGTGCATTCGCTCACGGACACGGTGACAGAATGCTGGTCTGGGGCGGCCGAGGGAGGGACGGCGGCCACCTCGGTAGCTACCGCGATGTTAGACGGAGTCTGGAGCGCGCTGAAACAGTTGCAGGACTTGCAGTGGGCCACGGGCAAGGCCGGGGTGCTCTCCACGCACAGGTCGTTGCTAAGGAGGTACGTGATGGAGGGAGGCAACGGAGGATCGTCTGATGAACCGGAAGTCCACCAGTTTTTTTCTCGGACCATGCTGTTGGTGATGAAATAGGTCTGAGGCGTGACGATGAAGTAGCCCTCGCCCGTGTGGTAAATCTTGCGCTCCTTGATCAGAGTGCCAAGCGCGTTGTAGAGGATGTCCTGCGTGGGGATGGTTATCCCTGAGACACAGAAACACTGAAGAGTGTTAGTTCATTCTGTATCCATAAGTGTACGTCTTACAAGGCCACTCATTTACAGGAAACATAAAAAGTATTCATGTGTTGGAAAAATTAAATAAGGTTTAAACAGAGGCGCATTGGGTGTTTGGAAGGGCATATATTTTATAGACAAGACACAAATATTTAAAAAGAGGAAAAAGATTCTGCCTGAATGTGATGCAAGCATCAGATTTCAAACGGTTCAAAGACTGCTAATTAAGACATTTGCATCTTCAGTTCTGCTTCTCTTTCAAAACTGTTTAAAAAAGATATTCTTCAACTTAGTCAGGTTTAGAAGTTACTTCCGGCAATTCAAATGCAGTTTTCAGGAGCACAGTTGTCAGTGTATTTACCAAGCTGGGGACATCTTTTATGGATTACCTGGATGGGCTTTGCTCATGTGATTGATGAGCGCCTCCTGGCTGACGGTGACTTGGGCGGAGTTCATATCGGAGATGACGGAGCACAGCACCTCAGCCAAGGGGATGAACTGGGATTGAGGAACCGGGGACATCTGCACTGGGGTAAGATCACCTGAAACAAAACACACGCACCAACAGATGACTGGGTGAAACAGGTGGGTGTGCTTGAGGATGAATAAACACACCTGGGTCAGACAGCTCTCTCTCTGACTGGTGCTGCCAACAACAACTCAAAGTACTGAAGCTGACATTTTAGTCCTAACCACCTTCTAAATCCTGACCGTGGTGGTCTATTTATGTAAGTTATATGAACCATGCCTGACTGCTTTTGAAATTCCAGCAGTAGTGAGACGGACCACAGAATTCCTTTACTCCCACAGAAAAGACCACAGGTCTGCCTGCAGGACAGATCAAATATCCTGCCCCCCCATATCACAGCGCTCCACACAACCAAGAGCGGTTTACAACCTTACACAAACATGAGAAGCGGGGAGAGAGAAAAAAAGCATTGACAGCCCTTGGAGCCCTCATCTTCATATTAAAATATGATTAAACTCTTCTTACATCTTCCAGGCATCCACATCAAATTCCACCACTCTGCTCCACTCCACTCACTGACAGCCTTCTTCCAGCATGAAAACAAACTGTGGGAGTCCATGAGACAGACGCACCAGAGCTTTTGAATCATAAAACTGGAGTCATTTTAAAGCTAACCAGACATTTTACAAACAATCACACACAAAGTTCCACACATGAACCAACTTAATGGAAGCAACATGTAGTTGTTGCACCACCTCAAAATTCAGTTTGATTTTCTTAAAAAGCCTGTATGTATAATAGGACTTTAAAACTGAATCCGAGGTTCGGTGTAGAATAACTGATTTACTAAAGGTCTCTCATGTGGTCAATGTGTTACCTCGCTCAGACACCAGAGGTAAAGATAAGACATGTGTAGGGGTGTGTCTTTTTGCTTCCTCTAGATAGAACCAAGGAAACAACATACTCTAGTTCAACTTGAATGAAAGAAAACAAAACAAAAAAGACACGGTAGACCTGAAAATTAAGCTGCACAGCTTTGAATTCCACCGGGAATTTTGGTGTAATGATCTCAAGAAATAAACCCTTAAGTGCTTATTTTTTGGTTTTCAGAAGACTTGAAATGATCATGTTTAAATGTAGACTGGTCATGGTTGAAATTAGGCCCACACTTGATGTGGTTACGGTTAAGACCAGGCTATTGGTTTAGTTGTGGTATGTGGGAAGACATTAGGATCTCCTGAGTGATATCATAAGCAAGAAATGAAAATGTTTGCTTTGCTCATATAAACTTTCTGAAGCAGTTACAATGCTTCTTATACTTATCTTACAAAGGTCACCATTATCAGAATATCAACGTACCAACAAAGCCTGCTTTAAAAAATCTTCCCAGGCCAGAGAGCACCAACAAGAGAGGAAAGAGCCCCAAAACAAACCAAACTGCGCCGTGATGATAGTCATCATGTGGGCCGGGTTACCACAAACACAAACTTACTTTCAATGAATAGCAGGCACAAGGGCACGCACACAACCTTACCCACAGGAGTGGAAAATTGTTTTTAGTCAATCAGCTACACCACAATAATAAAAGGAGCAAAATGGGCAGGGGAAAAAAGGCTGACACCACGTTAATGAAAGTTTTGAATAAAAACAAAAGTGCACTCACAAGAGCAAATAATTTAATTTTGGTTTGTTGCCAGTTGGAATCCCAACTTAAACATTTTCCTGCCTCTTTTTCTATTTCTTTGTGCTGTACTGTGTTGACAGCGATTTATTTGTGCACATGTGTGAATTTCTTTTTGTGTCACACTTGTGTCGACGTTGTCAAGCTCACACTTGATGTTAACTAAACATTTACAACCCTCACACTTGAACCACTTATGTCCAAGACAGGTCAAATATACAAAGAATCATATGTGTGCCATAGCGAGGCCTTATGGGGGACACGGGTGTGATGCAACCAGCCGCAGATCCAGACATGCCAACAATAAAGCTTCATAAATATAAAATGTGTCCAGTCCTAATCTGATCCGTCAAACAGTCATGAAGACTGTCCATGTTTACATGGTATACATATTTTAATATGTAAGCGGATGTTGACTTGAGACGGTATTCTATGTCAGAGATAGGGTCTCATAAAATTCTAAATGGGGTAAGAAAAATAAATATAATAATCAAATTTCCATGTTTATTCCCATCAGCTATTGAATACCAAGCCAGCGTAGTCTACAGATCCCAGACCCTAGACATAAAACACACAATCTGGCACACTTTGCATCAAGATACAATTCTTACAATTGATATGCCAAGCTCTATTGTTTAAAGAGAAAAAAATCCCTATTATCGCACACTGAGCTCACTTAAAGCTCACAAGGCTCACAAACATTGGTGTTTTTTTCTCAAACTGATCCTGAGGGATTGTAAAAAAAAAAAAGCAACAAAAAAAACACATCTGCATTCTCTCAGTTGAGACAAGGCATTAAGCTGACTAAACCTCAGAGCGGATATCTCAATAGCAGTCTCCTCTGCTGTGAATTAGTGCTGCTGACTTCGCTCCTCATTGTTATTAACTTCCTATAGGAATGTCTGGCAGGCTGTCCTCACAGCAAACACTTACAACCACTCCCAGCAGACATATGGTCTGAAAAGTTGTGGTAGGGTCAAAGAAAAAGATATCAAGTGTTTAAAACATGAATTTAATCAGTGCTCACGTTTTGGCAGAATTAATTTTGGAGGAAAAAAAATCTTGTTTCAAAGATATCTTACCAAACACCATATGATCTTATCTGTGCTTAAATACAAAAAGTTTCCCTGTGCTGTTTGATTCATTTTACCTTGACAGTAGCACTAAAAATGAAGGAGTGAAAAAAAAGGAAATATAGACCTCCAGCAGTTTATTTGTGGGAAAAAGTTGAAGTAATGGAAGGGTGGGAGCGAACGAGGATCACTGTTTATTGAGTCTAACATTAGCAGGCATGACCATTGGGGAGGATCGCTGTTGTAACCGTCCTCTCTCCTGGGGAAATGGAGCTCTGTGTTCCTGTAATCTTAGACTGGGAGGCAGACATTACACCCTTTGTCATACACAGCATGAATACCCAGCCGGCTGCCATGGCAACGGGGTCCTGTGCCACAAGTAGAAAAATGGCAGCTCACGAGTCAAAACAGGACGAGACTTGTGTTGAGCCAAGTTCGGAGGAGCTGCGCCTCAGCACGAGCCTTTAAAGGGGCTCTGAGGGGTTAGTGGCTCCCAGCTTGAGAAAACGGGTGTTTCAAAGGCAAGTGAATGAAAATGACCACGCCAGCATGAAGTCGTCTGGACTGGCAAGCACCGAGCCAAAGAGAAAGCCCAACAATCAGAGGGCAGTGTGACAGACTGAAAGATGCGGCTGTTTCGGGTGATGTAGTCCATCCAACAAATCAAATCAGAACAAACTGAGGGGCTGCCCCGGGCTGCATTTTTGCAGCTGCATCATTCAACGTCCTCGTAGTTAGACTATCACTGTCACTGCGACTTCGTCATGCTAAATGCTTCCATGCTCCAGCTGTCAAAGGTAAACCACTGACACAAGCATGAAAATGCAGGGTGAAATTGTTCGGACAAAAAAATAACTTAACGTTCCCTGTCAGAGCACTATTCAGGGTTTTAAAAAAAAAAAAAGGCTTCCACGAATGCATTATTTTAAAAGTAAAACCTTGAAATCACATTCACAAAACCTGATCTGTGCCACTCGTCCTGCACGGATTAAAAACATGAACTTCTTCCCATGTCGTAAAGTTTTTATCTGAGTATAGAAACAGCTGCCTGGGGAATAAAATGAAAAATGCCTCAGTGCTTACTGTTCACATTGCAGAGATGAATGACAGAGACCTTCTCTCCTCTGCCCCCCCCCAGATCATTTAAGCTGCTGACTCTGATCAATGCCACATGTATTCACATGGCTATGTCATTTAGTGCGCCTCAGAACCACATGAGTCCCATTTAAAACATGATTGCATTACCTTCAGACTTTACCAAAAAAAAAGAAACTTTTAACACTCCAAACTATATAGCTCATATTGTTGACCTTATATAAGTCATATTCATGCAAACAGACTAGATTTCAATTATCTGTTACATGGGTAAAAGCCTATCAAATCTAAAAATATAAGTGTAGAATATTACAAATGGTTTAGCATATAGTGCCTAATCACAACAAATACCATTCATTGTGCAGTAATGATGGTATTTAGTGATGGAAAGGTATCAGAAATTCTTGATTAAATCCCCAAATCTTTTATGTTTCTTCCTCCATAAGGCTGTCATTTTGAGCTTTTAACCACTTCAGCATGTCTCACAAACAGAACCATCTCCCTCAGATAAGTTAGAAACTAAGAAGCGGCAGACAGACCCTGAGTTGCAAATACAGACGTACTTTGGAATAAGAATTTAGAGTCTTTTGGGGGGTTACAAGTATTTCTTTTATTATCGTGTCCCCTGTGTCATTACAACAAAACCTCCTCCAAATGAGGCATAAATTCAACCAAAACACTGGCTGAGTCACATATGTAAAAGCCCAAGTGGTGCGTTGAGGCCTGGAGTTCAGGACTTGGCAGTCCTAATCTTTGTCTTTCAGAAGCCAGAGTTGACCATCTGTCAACGAGAAGGTGGAGCTGCAGAGTGATCCTTGAAGCACAATTTGGAAGGAAAAAAAAGAAAGGTCTCGGAGGCATAATGTCTACTCAAGAATGGAGTTGTTTTTAAAAAGACTTCCAGCACACAGATCAGAGAGAGTGCCTCGAGCCAATAAAACTATTATTACTAAAGCAACATATGTACACGATAGTTGGAGATAGTTTACAGATCATTCGGAACCGGCCCCCTTGCAGCTTTTGGGGCATTTCCTCACAGGTGTCTTTCATGTACACAGTATTAGGCAAACTGCAGTGACTGTAACCCCTGCCGGAAATAAGCCTGTGGCCCCTCACCTTCATGCTATTGCAGCTAAAACCTAACCTAAAACCATTCCTCCTCCTACTAATCCTCACTTTAAAGCCTCTCAGAAGATGCATTCTCTCTCACACACCATCTAATCTGTCTTGCAATCGCCTAATCTTCTGGAAACCACTTACAGAACGG